TACACTGTCAGTCTGCTGGGGAGTCTGTAAAAATATTCCATAGACTGGGTGGCTTATAAACAACAGACAGTTATTTCTCACAGTTTTGGTGGCTGAAAGTTCAAGATCAAGTTGCTGGCAGATGCAGTGTCTATTCAGAGCATGCTGCTCAATAGATGGTGCCTTTTTTTAAATTTTATTTTTTTATTTTAATTTGTTATATATGACAGTGGAATGCATTACAATTCATATTACACATACAGAGCACATTTTTTCATCTCTCTGGTTGTATACAAAGTATATTTAAACCATTCGTGTCTTTATACATGTACTTAGGGAAATGATGTCCATATCATTCCACCATCTTTTTTAAGTAGATGGTGCCTTTTATGTATCTTCCTTCACATGGTGGAAGGAGGGAGGGATCCCTTTGAGGTGTCTTAATAAGGACATAATCTCACTCGTGAGAGCCCATCTCCATGACTAATCACCTCCACACCTCCTCTCCTACAGACATCACTTTGAGATTGGGGTTCAGTGTGAATTTTGAGGGGACACAAAATTTCAGAGCACATACATATTGTAGTGCTTCTCCTGAAAGTTCAGGGGCAATGGAGTTCAGGTGGGTGGTGAGGTATGATGTGAGTAGTCAAAGCTGGGGTGACTCAGGGCAACAAGGATAATAGGATGTTATAATTGACAAAGTGGTTGTGGTCTTTGTATCACACGCAGGGTGAGTATGAATGTTTAAAGTGTGGATAGAATTGATTACAAGACATGAAGGAAAGGCTTTTTGGAGGGTAGGAGATGGGCAACAACTCTGTGCTCTGGGATGGGAAGGTGTCAGGCCCAGTTTTCTGCTACTGACATCTTCACTTTGACCATGACTTGGGAGAGCCAACCACTGGTTCCTTCTATCAAATAATAAATGCCTAATGTGAGCTTGAAGGCAGCACTTATGGCCCCATTGAGTTATAAATCCATTGCCAGTTTAGGGCTCCATCTTTCTTGACAAATATCTTCAGGTGAGGGTTTGGCTTCTTTTTGCTCATCGTTTTTTTTTTTTTTTTTTTTTTTAATATTTATTGTTTAGTTATTGGGAGACACAACATCTTCGTTTGTATGTGGTGCTGAGGATCGAACCCGGGTCGCACAGATGCCAGGCGAGCGCGCTACCTCTTGAGCCACATCCCCAGCCCCTGCTCATCGTTTTTTGTACTTGGCACTAAATGGTACTTGGTGTTCTAAATCCAGAATTTTTTTGTGATCCTTAGGCTTTTAAAAACAAATGGAAGGAGAGAGGACTTTTTGTTCCCATTGGTAGTACTGGGATAGGCTGACTGGGTGGGATGGTTCCCAATCCAAGCACGAGTCCCGTTCCTACATGCTGGCATGACAGCAACTCCTGGCTACAGTGTTGCCTGTACCCACCTCTGCAGGTGACTGTCTCCTGGTTCATCCCAATGCAGAAATGCCCTGGCCTGCTGGGAAGGACTTTCTGCCTGGAAGGGTCTGGCAGTCAGAGACAGGATCTGTGGCCATAGTGCTGGTTGTGAGGTCGGTTCTGCATTTTTCTATTAAGATGTTAAAAATCTTGTTGTCCCAGCTCATCAGTAGTGGGAGCCTCATTGAGACCTGCTCCATAATCTGCAGCCTGGCTGCTGACTCACTGTCTTACTCCCACCTTTGATGCTTAAGCATTGGTGCATTCTCGTACCCGCCTCCTTAGACCCACAGCTGCAGGGGTGGCCAGCAGACTCTCACTTGGTGGGGCCCAGAGCCACCTGCACTTGACAGGACGCTTATTTTTACATACTGTTGGTTGGAAATAATCAGCTTTATTTAAAGAGAATGTGGATTCAGAGTGCTAAAAAAAGCACCCAACAACTTGCTAGGGCTGTTTTAAAAGGAGTGATTCTCTTGTCTCCTTTGGAAGGAAGCTGCAGGACCATGCAAAGGGAACTGAGGATTCAGAGGGAGGATGGGTCAGGTGGGTTATGCATTACCAGAGCTCTCTCCAGGAGTATAGAGCTTTGAGAGCAGGGCATGGGATCAGTCTGACAGATACCCACCAGGCTGAGACTGGCAACCCTTTGTCCTTAGAGGAGCAGAGCCCATGTCACTGCTGGTGGAGTGAATGTCCACTGTGTTGGAGCGGCTGTCCACAGCCCCTCCCTGTTACACTTTCTCCTCTCTAGAGGGCCATCTTCCCCCATCCTCTGCCCTTTCTTTTGAAGGTACTAGGGATCAAACCCAGGGCCTTATATGTGACAGGGAAGTACTATATTGCTGAGCTTCATCCTCAGCCCCTTCTCTCCACTTTTGAGGAGTCTTTATGTTTATTCTCTGATCTCTGTCAAATGCTAAGGCCATGTTGGCTTTCATTGTGTGTGTGTGGATATTTTATTTATGTTTTCATAATTTTGATTAATTTCACAAGGTAACATAGATGTAGGCTATCTGTGAAGGACATCTATTTCCTCCCAGTTCCCAGCTTTAGAGGGTGTTGCTGCTGCCTTTTATTCTTTTGGAGAGTCATTCATTGATGTTCATGTGTGTCCATATTAGATGGGAGCTTAATGCTTCAGTTGGAGCTCACATGGGAGGGTCCTGTGGACACTGGTAGCTAGGCAAGTCTCTCTGGCTATCCCTGCTCCTCCTCATCCTGATTCAAGGGACTCTGGGATTGATTCAGGAGGGCACTGGGTATCAGGTCCGTAGGGAACATCAATGCCTCCTGTTGACACTTTTCAGAAGAGAATTATTTTTTTCTTGTTGGTTAAAATGTCTGCATATTATAGGGAATTTGAAATAATACCTAAAGGTACAAAGAAGAAGGTTAGATTCTTTGTTAATCTACTACCAGAGCTAACAACAGAGATTTAACCTACTTCCTTTTAGTTTTTTTTATATGTATATGCGCATATATCATTTCCTCTTCTTAGAAGTTGAGGCTATACCATACATAAAAGTTACAGATCTCTTTTTCCATTTTTATAGTATGTTGAAAGCTTTCTTTAAATAGTCTAACTAGTCTTTGAAAACAGTTTATTGATTGCATATACATTATCTTTCGTTTGCTGCCTTCACTCCACCTGTTTTCTCAAATCATGGAGGCAAACATGCTCTGTGTTTCTTAGTTCCTGTGTGTCATCTCCATGCAGTACATTACTGTCCCTGTGGGCAGTTTCAGGCTGGCATTCATACTTATTGGTCCTGCTAATATTCAGTGCTGAATTTTGAGTTTCATCTCTGAAATCAATTCCATTAGCTTCTGTGGTTGTTTGGGCTGCCACAACAAAGTGCCACAGAAAGGCAGCTTAAATGACATTGATTCTATCATGGTTCTGAGGCAGGAATCAGAGATTAGGGTGTTTGGCCTCAAACTTCCTGAGAAGGCTGTAGGAGAGGATCTTCCAGCCTCTTCCAGCTTCTGGCTGTGGCCAGCAGTCCTTGTTGTTCCTTGGTTTGTAGCCTCATCACTTCAATCTCTGCCTCTCTTCACATAGCCTTCTTCTCTGGGTATGTTTTCCCTTTGCGAACACCAGTTATAGTGGGTTAAGGCCCACTCTAATGACCTCATTGTAACCAGATCACGTCTATAAAGATCCTCTTTCCAAATAGTTTACATTTTTAGCTCTTGAGGGTTAAGACTCTGACATATCATTTGGGAGGATACAATTCAACCTTTAACAGTCATCATTAACCAGCTCAGAGAACTTGGGCTGGATTGAAGGCCCAGCCTCATGCATGTATAGAGATAGGCACACCCAAAGTGGGCAAATATATTCTTATCTGAAAACTTTAGCCAGAAAAAGGATATCCTCTTTTACCATCCCTTCCTGACCCTTGTTTTATGTCTCCATCAACACAGATATAAGCAAATGAAATTTTGTTTTCCCACATGATTGAAAGGAAGTGTACCTGTTGTTTTTGGGTCCATGGGGCTCTCTACCAGATTTCATCTGCTATTCTCTGAGCAGGCCCTGGAGAAGGTGACTGAGTATATACTCACTTCAGGATGTTCAGTGTCTGGCTGCCTCTTCTGTTATAAGGCTTTTGTCTGTGACTTAGATCCTCAAATGAGTAAGTGGAATTGTGAGTCTAACCTCATTTTAATTAAGTATGTATATGACTAACATTGTTAAATTTTATGACAGATATTTTCTTGGCTAGGCTTGTTTGCATGTTGTTTGTAACAGATATTCAAAGGGATTTGGTTGACTGGGTTTTTTTAGGCCATCTTAGTAAATATGTTGCTTATGTCTTACTAATGATGCAACAGCGTAATGCAGTCCTTTGGCTTTGACTTACTAGAGAAAATAGAGACTCAGTGTCAGATAAAGATTGAAGTCTGATAGTTGCAGAATTAAATTGTTTTGCCTTTTTAAAATGATAGGCCCTGCCAAGCAGTGTATAAGAAATCAAGCACCACTGGGGGCAGTGGTGCTTGCCTGTAATACCAGTGATTCAGGTGGTTTGCAAATTCAAGGCCAGCCTCATCAACTTAGTGAGGCCCTAAGCAACTTAGTGAGGTTGTGTCTTAAAATAAAAAATAAAAATGACTGGGAATATAACTCAGTGATGAAGTGTTCCTGGGTTCAATTCCTAGTCCAAAAAAGAAAAGGAAAGAAAAACCAAGCTTCCATGAGCAAGGATTTTGTTAATGAGAGCATATCTGACTAGTGGGCAGGCCTAGTTCTGAGTACTGTGGCAGCTGGCAGGACCCGGCTGTGCTTTGATGGTGGTCATAGTTGCTTTCCTAAATGTGAGGATTCACATATGGATTTCTTTTCTGTAGCTTTTCTCTTGTCCTATGATTTCTTAGGAAACCATGTAGAAGGATCAGAAAGGAAATCCTCCCAAAATAGAGGGGGTTGCAGATGCAAAAGCAAGTGAGCTTGACATGAAACTTGGGTCTGTTACTTCTCAGGATGTTAGAGTGGAATATGCCAGGCTGCCTGCGAGGCCTGCTGCTCATGTCTGCCTGGCTGCATCTTTTCTTTCTTATTCTTTCTTAGGATTCAAGAGCAGTTCCAGAAAAACCCTGACAGTTACAACGGTGCTGTACGTGAGAATTACACCTGGTCGCAGGACTACACTGACCTGGAGGTCAGGGTGCCGGTGCCCAAGCACGTGGTAAAGGGGAAGCAGGTAACAGCTGGGGTAAGGGAGTGGTTCAGCCAGTCTGAGGCGTCTCTGGAGGGACTCAGCATTGTTGCAGGAGGATTAGGATCAGCTTCAGAACATGAGGCACATTCCTACTCCTGCCTCAAGCCTCCTTCTACCAGTGAGGTTCTTTCAGCTGTCTGCAGGAATTTCCTCTTGGGGACAGCAGATCCAGTTCTCATTCTGAGCAGCATCAACCCCAAGAGGGAACTTCATATATTTGATTTCCTCAACTGACTTAATAAAGTCATAGGCATTCTCAGGGCCCCATTGAAGATGGTCAGCTTCTTACTTTTTTTTTTTTTAAGAGAGAGAGAGAGACAGAGAGAGAGAAAATTTTAATATTTATTTTTTAGTTTTTGGCGGACACAACATCTTTGTTTGTATGTGGTGCTGAGGATCAAACCCGGGCCGCAGGCATGCCAGGCGAGCACGCTACCGCTTGAGCCACATCCCCAGCCCTCTTACTTTTTTTTTTCTAATATTTTTTAAAAAATTTTTTTCTAATATTTTTTTAGTTGTCAATGGATCTTTTATCTATCTATCTATCTATCTATCTATCTATCCATCTGTCTATCTATTTATATGCAGTGCTGGGTGTTGAACCCAAGGCCTCACACATGCCAGTCAAATACTCCACCACTGAGCCAGCCACAACACTAGCCCCTCTCTTTTCAAAAGTATACTCAAACATTACTTTGGTGAATTCTACATTTCCTTTAAAGATCAAGTGTGCCTCAGTGTGCCCAGGAAAGTCCAGTTGGCTGAACTCATAATGAGGACTCAGGTGCCTGCATAGTGGATGTCTTGTGGGTTTCCCAAATTCACCAGTCTAGGGCCTAGCAAACTCACACTAGAGAAATGACCAGTGGGTAACACCCCTCCATGTATGGTGAACTATGTGCCATGTAGATAAAAGATTTGTGATGCGATAACTGGGTAGGAGGAGGAAGAAGGAGAGACCAAGTATGTGTACCCTAGACATTGCAGTCCTCTCGGGGCAGCAAGATGGCTGTACAGGAAGGAGGGACAGGCCCAGTGTGCCTCAGCATCCCTATCTCCTTCTTCTGATATCTGTTTATTACTGCTTGTTTCACATAGGTGACACATGAGCACTGAGGCTTCCCTGACCCCAAGTCTCCTTTCCAAAGTTGGTTCCCTAAAGGAAACTGCCAGGGCCAGTGCTCTGGTGTTGTTGGATGCAGCCCATCACTGATTGGGCTTCGTGGGCCGGCCTATCATCACCAATGCTCTTGGGAAACTGGTCCCACTTATTCAGGTATAAGTGCCACACTATGATCTTTTTCTTTCCTCTTGACAAGCACTAAACTGCTTCTGTTTTTTTAATGTGGAATCTCCTTACACCCTCCTTTAAACCATGCCATGTCATGGTTGAACCCCTTTGCAGCCCTGCCTAGTCTTGAAGCAAATTGAAGAATCTGAGGTCACAGTAACTGAATTGCAGTCCCTGTGGGCTGTGCCCTGTGGGCTCTTTCATGGGACAGAAGGTGTGTCAGGTGTAGCTGTAACATGCACATCTTGAGTTGATTTTTAAAACCTTTATCTAGTGAGCTAGAGTGAGTAGAATTTAATCTTTTAGAGGGAGAAAAAAGTTTCATCAGGAAACTGTGATAGGAATATTGTTATAGGTTGTTGTAAATAGGTAGGCATCACTTAAAAAAACCCAGGTAATAATGCCAAATGTGACATTACATAATTCCAATCCACAGTATAACAGACTTGATTTGTGTCAGAACTGTGTCCTTACTTCAGTCTTCCTAAGAACCTGCAACCAGCAAAGTATTATTGTTTTATAAATGAGATATTGAAACTGAGAAAAGTTATTAACTTATAGACATGTGTTTCCGTCTTGTTTAGCCTAGAATAGGGAGCATTCTGGATACAGGTTTGGGTGAATGAATAGATGAATAAAAGTATAGTTTGTAGGGTGTGGGGTGCTATACTATAAAATTATGCTGTTATTCATCATGAATAGATGTATAAAGAGCAGAGCTGTGGTTTGGTTTAAGTGTGCCTGCTCTAAACTATACTTTTCTCTCTGGGCACACTCCTCACTTTATAAGTAATCAGTAATGTCTGATGTTGTGGTGCAGACCTGTAATCCCAGCTGCTGAAGAGACAGAAGGAGAAAGTTCACAAGTTTGAGGCCAGCTTCTGCACCTTAGCAAAACAGTGGGAACATAGCTCAGCGGTAGAGTGCCCCTAGGTTCAATACTCAGTACTGGAGGAAAAATAACTCTAACAAACAAAAAAGAATAAATAAATAATCAACCAGCATTGCTAGTTTATGGAAGAAGAGATTTTGTAGAGTGTGTAACAGGAAGTTGAGTTGCATTTATTTTTGTGGGGTACTCCCTGCTCTGACAGTGGGGTCAGACGGCTGGCACCCCACACCCTACAAAGTGACAGATCACTAGGCTCAAGGTAGATGTAAAATCCAAGCTGGGTTTAAGCAAGAACCTCCAGCCCTCCTGCTGCATGTCTCTCCTGCAGGGCTCTCCTCAGCATTCCAGTCTCTGCTTGGAATAAGCAGACGTCTTGCACCTGAGCTGTTGGATAGGGCCATGGCAGGCCCACTGTGACTTCTAATAAGGAGAAATAGCCAGTTTTGGATGAATGTAGTTCATTCTGTGACAGGACAGATAGGGCATGCTTATTTGCCATGAACAGGGCAAAAATAGGAACCATGAACCTTTATGATATCACAACTGTGAATCAGTGAACTGTGGATGGTGTAGCTTTGGCAGAAGCAGTTCTCTGCATAACTCTTCCTTTCTCACTGCCCCCCCTCTCACCACCCATTATAGTATACCTTTTACCAGTACCTCGTGACCCCTAGAATTAGAGTTCAGTATAACTTTAGGATGCAGATCAGATCAGTAGGGATTATCTGCACAGAATGCCAGCTTCAAATGACTCCACCATGTCTGGTTCGAATAAGTCAGGAACAGGTGCAGGCTGTCCTGAAGAATTTTCTTGGGGTGTTAGTGGGTTGGGTGTTATTTCCATTTCATTGTCTGATAAGGTTTCCAAGTTCTGAAAAATGTTGATTACTATTCTTTATTCACTTTGGTATGTGTATGCGTGTGTGTATATATATATAGTTTTCTGGGATTTAATCTGACTTTTGGGGCTTTCTCTGAAAGGGTAGAAAATAGGTCTGTCCTTAAACTAGGTTTTTTTTTTTTTTTTTCTGGACTCAATAGACCCAAGTTAGCTGACTACTCTTGCCATTCCTTCCCCAGAAACCTTGCTAGCCCACGAACTGGAGGTTGGAGCTATGACTCCTACTCTGTGAGCACCAAGTTATAAAGGTCTTGCCCTGTATATATTTCAAAATGACAAACTGTCCTGCCTCATATTTAGATTTATTTTCTCTGAAATGCTTTTGTTATGACCTCTAGATTAATTGGTCCTGTTTTTTTTTTTTTAAAGTAAATGAGTTTATAATTTTTTTTTTTTAAAAAATTTGAACCACAATTTCAGGGTGGTTTGTTTGTTTGCTTGTTTGTTTATGTTTTTGGTACTGGGAATTGAACCCAGGGGTGCTTAACCACTGAGCCATATTCCCAGCCCTTTTTTATATTTTATTTAAAGATAGGGTCTTGCTAAATTGCTTATAGCCTTACTAAGTTGCTGAGGCTGGCTTTGAAACTGTGATCCTCCTACCTCAGCCTTCCAAACCCATGGGATTACAGGCATGCACCAGCGCTCCTGGCACAGCCCTGCGTTTAACAATTATAACCCTAGATCTGGCTCATTCTGCAGTGGATGTTTTCTGAGCACATGACCTATTTGGTGATTACCAAGACAGACCCCAGACTGCAGTCCAAAGTATATATCCCTTTTATTGCATGGGTAGTAAGAGTCAGCACATAATGAGCAAGGCAGTTCCAGGTAGCAGCATGATACAGAACATAAAATGGGTAGTTTGTATGTGTATCCAGAACTAATGGAGTGCCCATCTCTGTGACTCTTCCTATCCTACTTTCTGGCCCACTGCACACTTACTGAAGATGGTGAGCAGTACGTGCAGGTCTTAGCTGTCAGAAGCCAGTGCTTCCTCCTATGGCTCCCTGCTATACATAGAAGTCTCTGAGCATTTCCTTATCACACTGGATGGAAAGGTGGAAGGAAGGGGCTTTTTGCATCAGCCACTGACTTATTTAGTATTAGGGTATTTGTGAAACTCACTGATGTAATTTGCACTTGTAACCTACTTGTGAAAACCTTCATGGCCTATATAGTGGAAATTTTTCTTTTATCAATAGCATTTTTTCCATGTCATTTTTACAATACTGTAAACATCTCTTTAAAATTTTGGCTTCTCATTTAGTGATCTGAGAGTTTTAGTCATGCTTAATTTAAAACTTTGGAGTAAGTTAATTTCATTAGGTTTCACTAGTCTAAGGGCTTTTCCTTAGAGTTGCACTTTCTTTTTGGACTGGCTCCTTTCCAGTTGCTCCCTAACCGTACCTGTCATAGCTGCCTGTCAACAGTGTTTATTTTTGGTTTTTGTTTTTAGCACCTATCAGATATAATCATGATGGTAGCCACGATTGTAGCACCTCGACAGATTGAGTCAGTATTGGTTCTGTTGGTGATGGAAAGGCCTTATGTGGGCAGCTCTGTTTGTGTTGGGTCTGGGCAGGGTGTGAGACTCAGGGTGTTACTGGATGGAGCACTGCAGCAGAGTCCAGGTCCTCTATCCTCCAGCTGTAGTTTGATGCCTTGCAGACATCAGCAGAGCTTTTCCTTTCTAAAGTTTTTTTCACATTGATCTCTTTTCTGCAGAAATTGGTATGGTGGCAAGGACACATTTGCTTCTCAAGGATCGGGGAAACAAATGAGAGTATGTGCACAAGGCATTAGTATTGGGGTATTTGTGAAACTCACCAATGCAACTTACAAGTTTTTTCAGAGGAAAAATAGAAGATTTCTTATTTTACATATAGCATTTTAAA